GGGATTATTCATTACAGGTTGTACCCTTTAGGCTTTTATAATAAACTGCTCTGTATTTTCAATTATTTTTATAGCAAGGCAGAGTTAACATAATGCAGTCATGCGAGCAAATCTTCATCCCTAATTAACCTTGTCCATTTTCGTTTTCTGGCATGAAACCTTTTCGTGAAGTCTTGAAAAATTACATTTGATCACAATTCAAGGTTCAAACCCTAAATAATGCTCCTCAGAAAAGAATCCAAGCAGATTTTCACTACAGTATCCATCAACTTTCAAACGGAGGAATTCACCGACCTGGGCTTCCAACTTGTTTTATTAGTCATGTATTGGCAAAAATACTCAAAACTGAAGGAGATGATAATATCTCCGATAGGATAAAGAAATCTGACACCGAATCTACTGCTGGAAGATTCCAAAGGTTTGATCCTTGTAAGTTTGAATGAAATTCTCTTGGCTAGTAATCTAGTTGAGGGATTAAATTGCATAGACTGTGTATAGGGAAAGGCTAATTACAGAGTGAGGAAGGTTAGTTTGTGGAAAATATGAGGGTATCTTCAAGCAACCGCCTCTTCTTCTGTAAAGAAAAGGATGAAATATTTGGACAGATATAATTATCATAATCTGGGTTTTGACAGATGTTTGTAACTTTGCTACACACTAAAAAAAAAAAAAAAATCATTATTGGATTCTTACAGATTTAAGTACATCAGAGAATTAACAAGCTATGTCAGCAAAACTGTAAATCCAATCAAAATTGCAGCACACTTAACCGTGGGCAGATGCTGGAAATTGAAACACCAGTGTACTACTCGACAGCTCTTCTGTTACACAGACATGAAAGAAATGAAAAGGAATTTCTGTCCCCTCACCCATCTGTGGGAGGATTGAACCTGCAAAAGAAAAATGAAATTTTCTCTGTCAATCAGTAACTGCAAACTTTGAAAAGGGCTTGAAGCTTAAGAGTAAATAGAGCTTACTGGTTCTGTGTAGGATTAGGGGTGCTTGGAGGTATTCTTCTGAAAGATGAGTCCAACTGCTTCACGGGATTCCTCTTATGTGCCTGAGAAGATGAAGTCCTGCTTAATGGCAAAGAATGAACTTCTGGGTTGGACTTAGCAGACCAAGCTGATAACAACAGTGTGAGAGTAAGAAAAGCCAGTAGAGACCAAGTCTTCTTCATGGTAATGGATGATATTAGTTGAGCCAAAGTCTTTAGGATCAAGTGAACTAATCTAATTGATGTTTAGTACTGTCTCGAATGGTAAATATCAAATGGGGATCTGGTAACAGTGGGACGGTCATGTGGCTGAACCTTCGTCTGATGCATCATCTTGCACACTGCCTCGTCTGGTCTTAGGATTTGGTGAAAAGAAGTGACAGAAACTTTAGAAAAATCATGATCAGGCACGTGATCGGTTCATGACATTAGACTATCTTTTTAGCTTTCTTGGGGGACTAAAAGGTTTTGATATTAAATGCAAGTTATGCAGTGACATCAAGAAACTGATGAGTCCATTCATATGGAAAACTAGCTGTGCATCTTTGGAACTGTTCACACATGGTTCCTCCTTTGTCACTGAGAAATTTTTTTTTATTTAACGGACACTCAGTGAAACAAATCACTTCCACTTGGGATGAACAGAGTAGCATGCGAAGCTTGCACTGTTAATCGATCCAATCACATTGTCAGATCCTCTTTCTCAGAGAACACAGATTATTGTTCTGCAGGAAGTTACTTGGAAGCTGTTTTCTAGGCTCTAGTTTCAGCCCATTGGTTCATGCATATTGGAATATGCTGATAAAAATGAATATGTTTTAATTGAAATTCAGATATATAAATAAAGTTCAATCACAGATTCGTACTACTAAGAAACTATTCGAACCAATGTTATAAAAATCGAACCGGCCATTGAACCGCAATTTGAACCGTGGTCCAACCGATCATAAATAAATTAATATATTTAAAATATTATATATTTAAAATATAAAGAAATAATAATATATATAATAACAAAAAATGAATGTTTAAATTTCAAACAAAATAATATACAATAAAAAAATAACATCCTTCAATATTACATTATTTTCATCCAAAAAATATACAAGTGTTTCATAATTCATAATTTATAACTTTAAAATATATACACATATACATAATTTATACATATTTCATACATTTTTTTATTTCATAATACTTATCAGGTATAAATATGTATTAATTATAATTTTAAAATATGAATTAAAAATAAAAAATTAAAAAATAATATAACCGGTTCAATCGGTTCTTGCCCGGTTTTGGCCGGTTTTACCGGTTCATGGCCGATTATGTCGGTTCTTGACCGGTTCTTGAAATTTCTGATTTTTTGTAATGATCGGACCGGACTTGGGACCGGTTCCTGATTGAACCGGTTTGACCGGCCAATCCGATCCGGTTCTGATAACATTGATTCGAACATTAGACAAGGGCCTTATAGATTTAGAAGTGTGGCATTTCGATCTTCAAACTGGACAGTGCATTTAATCTCAGAAGTCCCAACCGCTGAAAACGTTAACGGATAGTAAGCTCACAGTCTCTCATTAAGGATTCGTTTTTGGATGCACGTCACGTCACAAGAACACGCCCATGTGTCTTGTACGATCCCAGAGAATATTTAGGCTTTATTTATAAATTTTTTTATGAATATTAACCTTACAATTTTATTTATAATTTTTTGAAGATATTAATTATTAATATTTTAAAGGAAAAATGATAAAGAGATCTCAAAAGACTAATTAATTTAATTTAGATATCAAGTAATAAATTTTAAAAATTTAAAATTTAATATCTCAATTTTACAATTGTGTTGTGATGAATTTGTAACTTATTTTTTAAATTTTAATATAATTAAAGAATAAAAAAATTTTCCTGTTAAAACTTAAAATATAAGTTGCAAATTCATCACAATAGAGTTATAAAATTAAAAAAATTGAGTTGCAAATATCTAAATTTTGACATTTGAGATCTAATTTAAATTAATTGATCATTTTGGAACTCTCTATTATTCTCCCTATTTTAATATCAATTTAGTTTTCATTGTGTGATGTTCGAAAGATAATATTAATCAAGGATGATGCTGAATGTGTAAAATGTAGGTAGAAATAGAATTCTTGAATTATAGTAAAGATTCTTGAAATCAAGTTAACATCTTCGTCTTGCTCTCTTGTAAATATATTGGAGGGCTTCTAAGTAGGTGATTAGAAGCATAAATCACAATTTCTGCATATGGAGTAAATCTAATTGACAGAGGATTTTAATCACTGTTTCCAAAAGAATTCTCTTCTATTATGACTTGCCAACACATATAGTAGTACGAAGATTAATGCAAATCTAGCTGACAAATTTAAGCACGCATCGCTCATTTAATCCAAATCTTAACCTGGTGTCGTCTGTGTATCATGTATGTATCACATGCTTTTGCATATTATTTATAGTTTACACAATAAATAAGATTGTTTATTTATAACTTGTAGATAATATTATTTATTATAATTTTTTTAGTAATAATGATATTAATGAAGAGGTAAGCATTTTCATGAGTGAATCCCCTTAAAATCCGGATAAAATAATTTTTAATCTTATATATGTATAATATTTTTGTTTATATACATTTATATTTTTATTAAAAATGATTTTGTTTGAGATGCGATCAAACAATAAATATAAGTATTTCTTTTATTGAAGATTCAATTAATCATATATATAATATTAAAATACTCAAAAGGTGAGATAAATTAATTAAGAATCAAATTCTCATTATGAGGAGTATTTACATTAGTATAAAACATGCCTTGAATGTGATTATTTTTAATAGAGTGATACTTGTGTTGATGCACAAAAAATATATATGTATATACTCAAATGAAAATATTGTATTAACAAATCCACCGGGACGATAAAATCCACTACCATTTGATTTATATTGTCAAATTATTTGGTTAGACGTAAGTTAATAAAATTAACATTTTCGTATAGCAACTTATTTTTGACCTCATTTGCATGTACCGGCTGACTAAATGTGAATTATACACAGTACACCCCTCCATCAATTCACGGGAAAGTACTTAGAGAAAAAGGACCACTATAATAATAAAAAATATAAAAAACCATAAATTTGTAAAGTGGAAATGAAGGATGCTGGCCGACAAAGAGTCAGAGACAATGAAAGATCAATTTTTTTTTTTTTTAAAAAAAACAAGTACATGAATGGCAACGTATGTTTCTAAGATCTTATAAAAACTTATTAAGTAATATATATCATTTTTTAAATTGCCTATTTAATACTAGTGGATGAAATTTGAGGGTATAAAATAAATTTTAATAATAAAAATATTATTTAAAATACACATACTCAAACAAGGCCAATATATATATATATAAACAATTATAATTTTTATATTAACATATCTCAATGAATAAATCAAATGTATTTATATTAAAAAAATAAAATAAGGTTATATTATAAAATTACAAGACGATAATTTGCTGTGAGAATAATTTCGCTATTTCTTTCAAATCAGACACATTTTTTTAGTATATTGCATAAAATTTGCGAGGAAAAGGAAAAAACAAAAAAGGAAATTCATTGCATCTTGCTCTTGCATGAGAAAAATGATGCAAAAATACAGGGCTAAAATTGTCATAAAACAATACTTGGGGCCAAGTCATAACACGAGACTTTATATAAAGGATTTCTGGGTCACAGTCTCACAGAGCATACATAAGCCGAAACTCACAACAGTATTGCAAAGCTTGCGATTCATCGATGGAAACGGTATTTTACCTTCTCTCGCTTTTGCAATTTTCAACGCCACCGTTTTGAAGTGTTACCAGTGCCACTACCCCAACTTTCGTTGCTCTTACTTTTGAACGCTAAAAATCAATTCTCCGATTGAAAATATTATTTATTTGCTGTTTCAGATTTCAGGTTAAATTTGAAAGAAAGTGAACCCCAGGTAGGTTCTCCTCTCTCTTTGTTAATGGCAAAGTTGCAATTTTTTTCTCCAGCACGCGGGTTTCTTTCCCATGATCGCTGGATTAATTGCGCTAGAGATGTCTATGTGGTGTGACTGGATTTTAGATTGCCCTGGATTGTTTCGAATCTTATTTCGTCTGCCTTGGAGTCTAATTATGGGTTACCGTATCGTTAATATTTCTTTTTGCTATTTACAAATATAAGGATTAATTGTACAAGTGACGGTGAATTTTTGAAGAACACTGAGAAAGCATTTCTTACTGAATCGAGTTACGCCTCTCCCTCCCCACAATCCCAAGTCCTCCCCACACCCCCTTCTTTTCTGCGCATCAGGATTTTATACATCCTTACTTCAGCTACAGGACATGGAAGATGTGAAGCTAAACAAGTGAGCAAGATAATAGTGGAAGACGCAGAAGTGTGTACAACATACTTATATATATTTATTAGGCAGGCAGTGAATAAGAACGTAAACGTTTTTAGGCTAAATAATACTTCGTATAAACTTGAAGCTATGTAATTTGAGAAATGAATGACTTTGGACTTGGAACTTGGATTGCACTTTTCATGCTGGTAAAACCGAGCTTTTGGCTTGATGAAATGATATCGAGCTTTGTTGACAGAGAAGTTATGAGCTCAGGAGGCTTCTCCAAAGGAGGGTGTTAGAGATAATGAGATATTAGTGAATGCTGTCATTGGGCCTTGTTCTAACAACTTAAACTTCTGTAAGAGTTAGTTTTATAATTACAGGAATAGTCTACAATGGCACTTACCTTTAATGCTTGGAGAGGAAGATTTGGTGGTAAATCTCCTTCAATTTTCGCAAACTCTAATATCACAGAAAAACGCATGATATTTACCCAATTACGTGTCTCTGGCTTAATTGGTTTGTTTATTGTTTTTCTATGGATTCATTTATATTTTAACTAGTCTATATAATTATCAGATTTTAAAATATAAGATGATTAAAAGTTAGTATATATATCTCCACTGCCGTTAATGTTACAAAGAACTTTCTCATCATTTTTCCCCCAAGAATGTTTTGCTTTTTCGGCTGTTACATTACATAGGTTACTTGTGATTTTTTTAATTTTATTTTCAACCTTTTCATTGACTATTATGTCGTCAATAAATTCTTAGCAGGCAACGCAAGTCACCTTCGAGAATAAAAAAATAAACTACATTGCAGGGCCTTGCTCTTGCTACTGATTGAAATTGGTTAGATGGCGGAGAAGTCATGCATCAAGCGCCTTCAGAAAGAATATAGAGCCCTATGCAAAGTACTTCATCTCTCTTTCTTCCAACTTATTACTTCTTTATTATATACTGTTATTCACATTTTGTATGCTTACATATTCTGTTGTTGTACGACTTCAGCCATTTGAAAAAAGAAAAAAAAAACGCATGTGATGCCATCAGGACCCTCTCCCTTCCTATTTTCTGTGTATTTGTGTGTCCAATTGTTAAGTTGATGTTGCGGCTGCTTGGAGGATATGCAGCACAAGAAAAATGGAAGATATCATCTTGTTTATTTTGCATTTCTACAATTGTAATGCGTATGCAATGTGTCTATATTTAGTGATTATTTGTGCTTCTTCTATTATATCAGTCTTTGCTATATTATTTACTCTTTCAGTCCTATATCAATAAACTGATGTTAAACTATATTTTCCAAAAATAAATTATAGAAGCCACGTGCTGACTGGGCAATAAATTTTTATTATGAATTTGCAGGAGCCTGTATCCCATGTTGTTGCCCGCCCTTCACCAAATGATATTCTTGAGTGGCGTGAGTGCTTTTTACTTTTGTTGCAGAAATAAATAAATTAAAGGCTCATGTCGAACACATTAGGATTGCACCACAGTACCTTTTTTCCCCTAGGATGTGCGTGTAACAGAGAAGGCATTCTTTCCCACCACCTACCATTTATTGCTAGAATATACTCTACAACACTACCAACGGACAAAACTTTTCATCTAAACTAACTGGAATAAGAATGTCTTTGCTTTAAAAAAAAAAAAAAAACAGAGAATGTTTTTGCTGGAGTACCAAATTATTGGTACGACTGTTCTTTGAGATGTTTTTAAATGTTAATCACAGTAGGGAACTCTCTGCTCTTTGTTTTCAGATAATCCTTGCAAATGTTATTTAGAATGGAGATTTAGTCACTTGATGGGTCTTTCACTCTTGTTGTGCTATCACCTAGTTAATTTTAGCTTAGTTGGTTGGTAGTTGTGAATTCTGATTTATTCTTCATCATGTCTCAGATTACGTGTTGGAGGGAAGTGAAGGAACACCCTTTGCAGGTTTGTTAATTTTGCAGCTTGTGATCATTTACGCTTCACTTTTTCAATCCTTATGTGCTTTGTCACTGTGAAATAGCACTTCTTAAAAACCATTATTCCAATTTGAAAACTTGACTTCAAGTTTTTCATATTTTAGGTGGAAATTATCATGGAAAAATCAAATTTCCTCCTGAATATCCATATAAACCACCTGGAATAAGGTGATCCTTCTTGCTGCAGTATTCTTTTTCAATTTTTTTTATCTCGTATATCTGGTCAATGATGATATTGGCTGTGTATACTTTCTATCATGCAGTATGATTACACCTAATGGCCGGTTCATGACTCAAAAAAAGATTTGTTTGTCTATGAGTGATTGTAAGTGCTTTTAATCTATTGTACCACAAGTTATATCATGAACTACTGATATTTTTGTAATTAAATTTAATGTTTGTGTTGATTTTACTGCTTTTGCAGTTCATCCTGAAAGCTGGAATCCTATGTGGTCTGTGTCAAGGTCAGATTGATTCTAGTTTTGAAGATGATATGTGTGGTTTATGCATTTGCTTAATTATTTGTTATTTTATCGTATTTTTTGTTATACTACTGCATGCCTCTGTACAATTAATTGTCATTTGGAGGAAACAGATGATGTTGATAATTACTTGATAGCTTTCCACTAATGTTTCCAACGTATGAATGCAGCATACTTACAGGGCTCCTTTCATTCATGGTAAGTATGTGGTAATTCTTCATATTTTAAGTAAATAAATTATCGTTCCTTTCATATCCTGTGGTTGTTTTTCACTTTCATTTGTTTTGAGCAAGGTGAACTGCCTGTATTGTTAGTTGTAACTTGATAATTGTTTTTCGTTATTCTGTCAGTCAGCCCAAGTGCTAGGTTTAGATAGTGCTTTTTTGAGAGCTTCATTTAGTAACTCATGGTGGTGTATATACTGTTGATACTCAATGTATCCTGTGCTTTGTGGAGAGCTTTCAATTAGATGACGCACTTTTTTGCAGATGGACAACAGTCCAACCACTGGTAGTGTGGATACTACCACTGCCGAGAAGCAGCGACTAGCCAAAATTTCCCTTGCTTTCAATTGCAAGAAGTAAGTATATTGAAGCAGCTAATATTGATAGAGAGTGAGCAAGGTCACTGTGATTGGAGCATCACTCTAAATTCTCTTTGGATCTGATGATTTTGCAAACAGCGCAACATTCCGGAAAATGTTCCCCGAGTATGTTGACAAGTACAACCGCCAGCAGCAACACCTTTCTGAGAAAGTTGATTCTGGGAGGTCATCATCAGACACATCTCGTGATGAAAGACCGAGGCTCTTGTCAGAAAAGGTCTCAGATACTACAGGAGGAGACATGAAAAGAGAAGAGGGGTTGGAGGATGTCAGAAAGAAGAGAAAGCAGTCTTTCCCGACGTGGATGATGTTGTTACTCTTGTCCATCTTTGGAGTTGTAATGGCATTGCCTCTGCTTCAGCTATGATAACAAGCCTCACTGTCCTGGGACTTATTGTCAATATGCTTCTTAGACGTTGTCATGCTTAACATGATTTGTACGGGGAACTCATGGGAATGGAGGTTGTCCTCTATTTATGCCGATTTTCCTCCTCTGTGTCTATGTTGCTTGCTTGGGATTCAGAGCTAAGAAGTAACGAGTTACGTGCTTGATCTATTTTGTGGTTTGTCTTCTGGTATTGTTGGCTGGTAATTAAATGTTATGTAAGAAGTAAAGAGAGAATTGCCAACCGAAGAGTGTGTGTTAGTGTGTGTGTGTGTTTGTGTGTTTATATGTGTTAAGTTGCAAAATAAGAGTAGATTTAAGTCAATATGAGTAAGTTAAACTTAATAATTAATATATAACAAAATAAAAAGATTATAAATTTGAGCTTTAATATTGAGTTAAGACATGGTGCGGTTCTTCAACTGTTCATTGCACGTTTGTTCTCTTATATTAATTTTGGGTGGTGGTTCTAATAAATGATATTGAAGTCAGGTTTTAATGGGAACTTGTATAAGAAAGATGACGTTGAAAGCATGTGATTGCATGCACGTTTGAAACCTTGAATGGAATTGATCATGGCTGTAGGTTGGCCTAGTGATGACTAGGTTTTTTTGACATTTTCTATTTGAAAAGTTTATTAACTCACACTTACCAAAAGATATCTCACATTAAATAAAGTTAAATTTAATAATTAATTAATATATAAATAAAGTGAAAGGACATGTAAATTTGAGTTTTAAAATTTTAAATTAAAATACTATACTTTTTGTGTTATTATTCATCACCTATTTGTTCTTTCATCATATTTTCATATTCCCGCTTCCCATTTCTAATAATATAAATGGAGAAGTAGAGTTAAAAGTTTTACTAACATTGTAACATAATAAAATTTAAAGCAATGCCGAAAAACATTTCAGGCTAGAGTAGTTGTTGGAAACCAAAAGCAGCTAATTGACGTGGAATCAGCCCACTCATAGCATATATGAATTGGTACGCTTCTACCAAGTGCACGTTTCTAAACCAAATAGATTTGTTTATTTATTTTTAAATCTAACTCATTAAAATCTTCCATCTAATCCTTTCCCCTTCATTCTCCCCAAACTAAATAGAGAGTTAATATGCCGTGTATTGCACGGGTGTACAATTTAGCATGTAATATTTGTGTAGGTGATTATTGTTTTTTTATTTTGCCCACAAAACCGAGACAATTACTGTGAAACTGAAAGTTGTATTTACATGCATTTTGGATAATAATTTGGTCATGGAAGCTCTCAGTTGGCTTTGAATGATCCTCGGAGGAAGCTAAGACTGAGGGAGTAATCGAATCCGATGATTAAGCGGTGCAAAGCTGACAAGAAAAGAAAGTTTGGAGTAAAAGTGGAACCCACGGTCGATTATTATTCAAACAAGCAGGAACATGTTTCTGGCACAATATTTAATAGGAGCCACGCAAATTATTTAGGAATCTTCATTAATTTTTTCACCACAAATATATCATCAAAATTTAGTTTAAAATCAGTTTTATTATTCTTTACTTAGAAATAATTCAACTTGCTATAGGTTTTATAAGATATATATTGATATATAAAGTATTTACATTTTATTATGAAAAGTTTAATAATAAACACGTATTTAAATGCTGTCCCATAAGTCTGTCTGATGCGGTTGAGGGAAATACTGGGGTCCCCTTTGGTCGCTTCACTTGAATGTGTATCCTCTGGCAAAACACTCCATGTGCTGTTCAGACACCTACATGGCCACTTGAATATGCGTATACGATGAGGTCAGATTCTGCACACAGCTTCAGAAATCTGCCTCTTTCGTTTTCTGCTTCTTATTATATATTCTGAATATCAATATTTCCTTGTTGTATCTATGATGCTATGTTGAAAAGAAAATATATTTCCTTGTTGAGTTTATTCTACAAATTCTGATTAACATTGTAGAACTTAGGACTATTAATAAAAGTTGCTCTGAATTATGAACACAGGTTTCAGCATCACAAACCTGTTTTTGAACCGATTCTGCAGTGTCCTGTTTCTGGTCAAAATTGAAGTCGCTTTATCTTGTATCGTTTTTCTTCCTTCCCTGTGACCTGTCATTTATTGTTTATCTTTTACTGTCTCATCCCAACAAATCATGAGAGAAGCTAAAGCTAGAATGTGATAATAATTAAGGTTTTAGACCAGTCCAAGGTTCCTGCCCTTCCCACGCCTCGCTTCTTGGAGCCAATAGTTCCTGACTATGTGACCTCCAACAATAATGAAATCAAGTGCTTTCATCGCTTTTACGTAGGAGCAGCAGGTATGGACAGTGCGAATTCCATTAACTTTTTTATATTTATTTTTATTTTTATAAAAGAATTTAAACCGTGTGAAAGTAATCTATGCAGGTACATCGGATTTGGAGTGTAAGTTGACTTCTCCAAACTGCATCCCTTCGTTTCAGCTTCAGCTTACTAGTGCAATATTTTCTCACCATTAGTTAAAAAAGGGCTGCAATTTTAGACATCAGAAATAACAGAGACAGCAAATACTCCAACTTCGAGTCACATCAAAGTTGTTCTCTCAATTTCTCAGCTTTCAACTCGTGAATAATCTGACGTCTGAATCTGAAGGATGTTCAAGTATATTGTACAGGACCTAAGTACAAATTACAAACCAGCAGAAAACATAAAATCTCACGCTAGAATTGAGATTGCACTCCCCGCTTTGTGTCGCTTTGTGTTATCTGAAATGAGTACAGCCAGAAAATGACGTAGATTTCAACATGAGGACCTTAACTTAATGTCCTGTTCGAGAATCTGGTGGAACATTTTTGTTGGCCTTGAAGAACAACCACCCTGATAATTGGTTGTAAACAACGGAATTAAGAGACATCATTAGCAGTAATTTAGATTTTTTTTTTCCCTTTTCACGAGAATTGCATGTTAGACGCTTGGATAGAAACACGAATACAGGTCCCATTCACAACATGACTCACCACTCATGACGTTTATCTGCTTTGCAGTTTAAGAGTGCAATAATGCGGAGATACACACCTGGCTTTTAGGATTAGAATGGGTTCCTTAGGGGAGAGGATAAGAACAAACGGTGGATAATACTTTTAAACGTTATCCTTTATACAAAATTGGGTCAAAATATTTCAGTCAAGGATCCTCCGTTTTGGTGTTTATAAAAATACTCTGTTCATGACACGTGACCTAACCTAACTAGGTAAAATCTAAAAGACAAAACCCCGATGAAGAAACGGAATCAAGCTTAGTTTGTTTTCGAGTTTCATGTGATTTACGAGATCCATTCTAATTATTTGTATAAGAACAAAAATATATTCATGGAACTGCCAAGAACCAAGATACGTTTTTTTCTGTCTTGTATCTTTCTCTCTGGCTCATTCCAGAAAAGACCGACGTCTTTATCCTAAACTTCCTTCTTTTATCCATAAAAAGTTTCTTCAATTTGCATCCCATCAGGCATAGACACACACACAAGCCGTTACTATAATCTTGATTTCATATTCCATTGATATCTTGGCAGGGTGCGTAGTTCCATCGAATTTGGCTTAGTTGAAATGTTCAATGGCTTCAAATTCTATAATGAGCACGTAATCGATTCCCTAATTATCAGGGAATCAACCAGTCAGAACAGAACACAGTGGAATTCAGAGGCAAAAATATAGGACGATAAACAGGTAAAGACTGTTCGCAACATGGGGAATGCCGCATCCTACTCTACCAGCCTCTCCTCTAGGCTCTGTCGGTGGTTCTAGATGATTTCTCATCCAGATCCATCATTGGGTAAGAAAATGGAAGTTGAAAACAGACTAACAAGTATATGAGATAAATTACTCAAGAAACTATTACTCAAGAAACTAATATCATTCTCTTTTCAAGCATCAAGATTCTAATCATTCATCATTCACATAACAATTACCATCTTAGAAATTATCTCCATGGATTAGATGGATCATGGCATGTCATAACAAGAGCTGTCTCTCTGAAACACCCGGAGGAACCCAACCTCTCAAGGACTGTGCGTCACCTTTCAGAGATTAGTTCTTCCTATTGACTCTCTTCTATAATTTGCAAATGGCTGCATCAATATATGTGGGCAGATCTATTAAAAAAGGGGGGAAGAAATATGCAGATACATTCTCTCATATAAGTAACTAGCTCTGTCCTCTCCCTGCTTGTTCCACATCTATAGAGCCAGGACCAGGATTACAAGGACCTAACCTTTTGTCTCTGCTTAAAAGCCTCTTCAGTGACCTCAGTCTTGTGGTCATTGGTGATTTCAGCTCATCTTCAGCAAACCTGTTTGCAGAAGGAGATAAAGACGAAGAATTGACCTCACTTGGTATATCAATCACCATCATTTCATGGCGTCTATTATTACTGCTACTGCTAGCTGTGGTAGAAGATGAAGGACTCTCTTCTTCTGAAGAAGTGTTGATAGAACTAACTTGAGTCTGATTCCCCCAAACCAACACATTAGTTGGAAAATTTGGAGACTCTGAACCACTCCCGGCAGCTAAAGCTGAATTTTGAAAATTTTCTGATGCTTGTGACTGACTAGTAATATTCTCTGCGGAATTTTCACGAACACTTGAACTGCTATTGCATTTAGGGGTTTCAGAAGCAACTGGGTTTCTGCACAGTGGGCAAGTAGAATGTGATTGAAACCACATATCTATACAATCCACATGAAACCCATGGTTGCATTTGGGTAAAAGCCTCGCCTTTTCTCCTTGGACAAGCTCAGAGAGACAAACAGCACATTCTAAACCATCTTTGAAATTTTCAGGTTGGTACACCAATACGGGTAAGGACAAAAGCACTGAAGGGTCGAGTCCGCCGCTCTGACCGCCGTAAATAGCCGGATCTTGCCCTGGGGCGAAGACAAAGCGGCGTCGACGGCGACGGCGAGGCGGCGGAGGAGTGGTTTCTTCAATGCTCCACCAGAACCATTTGGCGTAGAGATGGAGGAACAGAACAAACACAACCACCATGAAGAGGATTATTATAGCTAGCACCATGATTTTTCCCGTCACTTCAACTGCGGGAGATTCGCTCAATTTGTCATTAGACATGAACGAGTCACCCATGATTCCGGCTTACCCTTTATGTTCCTATAATTCAAGAAGCTTCTTCGGGACGCTGCAAATTAAAGACACCCAGACGAGTTTGGAAACGAACAGAATGATCGAAGACCAGATGGGAAGTCACTCGAACTTGTGGGTTCTCGAGAAGAAAACCATAAGAGTTTAAACTTGCGAAGCTCGGTGAATTTCAGAAGAAGAAGAAGGATCTAGTTTTTGATTCTGGGATTGAGAATGTTGGAGAATAAAGAGGAGGAAGAAGTAAGCGAAGACGCGAGAGAATTCAAAGGAGGGAGAAGCAGAAGGAGTAGGAGAACCTCCACATTGGACTTGAGACTTGGACTTTAGGAGGGACACAAGCGAAGAAGATGATGGATTTGGAGTCTACTCAACTCACAGATTCTTGAGATGTGAATAACTTCATAAAAGCAGGGAAAATACAAGTGCTTCGTTGAATATCAAACCGCCATGTCATGTCGACTCCACTGCTCAAATTTTCTTTCCATTTTCCACCGCTGGTCGTTTTCTTCCTTCCCAATACACCTTTTGCATACTTGGTATCAGATTTAAATTGAGTCGAATCCTTCAGATGACTTATACTCCTTCTGTTTTTATATATAAAATATTTTTAATTAAATCATATAAATTAATAAAAATTAATTATTTAATTAAAGATATAGTAATATTTTAATTTTATTTGTAATAATTATAAATAAAAAATAATTTTTTAAATATAAATTAATAACAGTATTTATTTTTTAATTTAATAAGGATAATATATCCATTCATTAAAAAATATACTAATAATTTTTTATATTTGAAGATAAAAAAATTTAAAAAAACTTTTTATATGAGAGATGGAGGGAGTATATAAATTTTATATTTTACATAATACAGGTTGTTTGAATTATAAAAGCTTGAATTGGGTGCATGACATTTTAGATTGCAACCAAATTTTTATTTGTTCTATAATTTCATTAGAAATTCAAATTATTTCTGGATCATAATTTTGAAATTATAATTACTACAATCCTTTTTTTTTCAAATTTTTACTATCAGTACCTATATTATTCCCACCCGTCTCATGACTCTCATCCCTCATTCTCGTTTTTCATATATTGAAAAGTTTGTTATTTTCAAACTTTTGTTCTACTTTAAATTATAGCATTTTTTTACTTTTAAAATTTTTTACACAGTCTAAATAAAAAATTTAAAATATTATATTTAAAATTTAAAATTTAAATTTAAATCAATCAATTCAAATACTTTTTTTATTTTTTTAATCGTAAGGATTTGAACTTGATGATTTTAATTTAAAATAACTAGTCTTACTATTAACTTTCATCACCTTTAAAATCTCTAATTTAATTTACGTGGGAGGTGCTTTCATCTTTTAAGCACGTAGTATTAATTCCTCTACAGGGAGCAAATTTGATTACCTTGTTGAAGAAGATTGGCGTCCATTCTCAGTGTAATATTTTTGTAAATTGTAATGTCCTTGTTATGGTGTTTTTCAAAGTGATGCTTAACGGGGCAGATCGAGAAAAAAGAAACGGAAGGACTAAATTGGCCAACCAAGTTGACCATTATTTTACCTAACCCGAAACGACGAACATCGGACAAATTTAGAGTGGTCGTACGGGTAAGCTGAAATGATCACCCTTCATAAACTGCAAATAAAAATAAGAGCTCCGTCGTTCAACTACTTTTACAAGTCAAGACACAATTCAAGTCCCATCTAATTATGCTGTTTCAAAATTGTTTTTAATATTTTTATTATTTAATGTGGTCGTATATTTATTTATTTATTTATTTGTTCTCACATTGACCTTTATTTTTCCCTTTTTGATTACTCTAATTTTTGTAATCATCTCAAAGCTAAAATATGAAGTTGTATAGAATCTCCTTCATGATTATAACTACTTAAAAATAATGGCGTGAAGAAGAAAACTGTATAAGATTTGCATTAGGAATAATTACGTAATCAAAATAATTTTCCGAAACTGCAAATAAATAGATTCATGGACATCAAATATATAAGTGAACAGAACTAAACAATTTTTATGAATTTTGTTCAAATTACACGACTTTTTATTTTTTTAAATCAATGCCAGTCTCTCTTGAATTTGATAGGTGTCTTTTATATCTATTTTTAAACTCTACATAAATCTTATCTAGAATAATAGTAAATTCAATAATTTTTATAATTTAGTTGGAATTAGTTACACAGGTTTAGTATATCTTAAAATATACATTATTCTCCTCTTAAAAAAATGAAAACAGTGTGTTATTTTTATAAAACTATAATACATATTGACCTATATTTTGTATGAAATTTGATGTAAGTTACAAGTTCCTTGCTTTTTTTTTTTTTTTGGTCAAAATTCCCTGGCTTCTTGATGGTCTAACTTTCTAAATAAATTCCATGCAATTAACTTTTTAATTTTAGAAAGTTAGTATAAATTATAAACTCATACAATGTTTGATAGACGAACAAAATATTTTTTTTTAGAAAAATATAATAAGAAATGAATATATTATACTTTTATTATGGGTACAATTTTTATTTTATTTAAAAAAAATATTTTCCTGTGCACCGAACGTGCAATAAGAATATTCAAGATTCCGATGATTACTGAGTCAAATGTGCTCGAGTAAAATTTGATATTGAAGTTTTGTAAATGAAAGAAATTATACACGAGATATGTATTTAATCGAGATTTAAATCCGCTCAAATGTGAGTTAGTTAAAATTCTATACAGATTTATTAAAAAAAAGTATGGGCTTTTACACACATAACCGATATCATATGACTATATAAAAAAATAATTTATCCTTTCTTAAATTTTAAAAATGACATTTTTAATATTTAGTTGATATATAATTTATAAAACTATCTTTTTAAAATTATAACACCCTGCTTTTATCAATTACCATAACATACTCAAAATATGAATTAGGCGAACAAGAGAGACAAATGTGTGCTACAATCATGACAGAAGAAACAAATAAATCAACTCAAAAATAAAAGAAAGCAAAGCAATATGAGCAAGCCACAGCACGACAACGAGAGATGAGTAGTGTAACACACCAAATTTTTTTTTTTAAATAATTTAACTCAACCATAGTTGGGTTACAGCCACCCAACACATTTTTATATCAATAATTTTAATATAAAATATTTTATAATTAACATTTCAGATAAATTTTTACCTCCCACATGCCATTAGGCTAAATCACATTTGTCCATCCTTATACTCCCAACAAGTAAACTAAATCACATTTGTCCATCCTTATACTCCCAACAAGTAAAATAAGCAATTTAATAAATTTTCAACACAAACCAGTTATTTGGCCTTATAATCATGCCATTTTAACCAATCCAAAGTAAACCAAATATTAAAATTACAGTCATCCAAATTGTACTAAAAATAGAAATAGTTTGAAAGGCATGATTACATTTATATATTCATATAATTGACAATAAACAAAAAGCCCTAATATTGGCAATATAACACATTATAAATCATAAATTAAATACCCAAAAGAGACAGTGGATCTATACCACTAAGCCTCTGGGACTCCTCCACGTGTCACTCGTGGCTCTTCTCCTGAAAATTGTTAACCACATAATGAGACTCAAAAGTCCCAGTAACCAAAGCCAATTTATGATAGTGTATACAAACAGTTAAGTGTGTGTTTACTAAGTGAGAATTAAAAATAATATAATTCCAATAAATATAAGAAATAATACAATACACACAAACAACCATCCTTATATCCCTCCATTAACCTCGAGCCGTAGCCCTCACTCGGTGCTAAATTACCCGGCCAAAGGTAGATTAGCCCGAGCCCTTACAAACCACCTATTGAGCTCCAATAGGGGCATACCACGTGGCACATAAATACAACAACAATAGCAAGTCTCCCAACACCTCCCACAATAATCAAATAAATTTATAATAATATTGCACAATTATATAATATTACAAAATTTATAATTTTCTCAATAATCACCCAATTAACATGAAGTAACACTAATCATAAATTAAAAGCATGGTTACCTTGTGGCTTTTTCAATAAATTATTCCTTAAAATTTCTCTCTCACCACAATCTTCACCAGTAATACAATCTACAAAATAACATATTATTTATAAATATTAGTTTCAATTTTTGAAACTGATAAAATAATTCTAATAATAGAATTAAAAATATAACATAATTCCTAATCTCAATCTTAATACAAATCTATAGTTAATACTATTAAGTATAATTTTTAAATCCTCTTTTAATTATCAATAAACATTAATAATCTAAAAAATCAACTTCTAAACTAATTTTTATTATCAAAATTTTCTTTTTATTTTATAAATTCGTACCTAAAATACCCAAAAATTAAAAATTAAGTCTCTAGCTTAGAATCATAATCCTATAGCCATAATAATTCATTTCTCATCCCAAATAATCATCTAAACCTCAATAAATCAACATATATTTTCAGATCTAGTCTAGAATTTGATCCATAAGCCATAAATTCAAAGATCATTAACAAATTTATACTCTATAACATTTATTATACTACTGACAACCTCAAAAACCATATTTATTCAACATAAATTCATCTCTCTTCCAGATCTTAAATTTTCTACCACTACAAACTCAGAAACTAAAGAAGAAGGATGACTAAGAAAAATTTTTAGAACACTTACTTAGTCTTGAAAAGCTTAAAATCACACCCTAAATATCCTATTAAAAACTCTTACCTTAAAAATTTAGATATTTCGCACCGGTGACTCGCATTCTCTCCGCCTCAACTCGCGCGCAGGAATGAATGAGGAAATGAAGGAAGGTGAGTTTTTATAAAAATTCAGTGGGTCCCACACATTTTTTTTATTATTTCTTCTTCTCTCTCCCCCTTTTTTTTATTATTATTTTATATTTACTATTCATGCGGTGCCAAAAGCAAATTCGTTTTCTCTTCTTCTTCCTTTTTTTTGGCATACCTTTTCCCCTTTTTTTTATTATAATAATAATTTAATAATTTTTTTAATTAATTTTTTTAATAAATTTATTTTATTTTATTTTTTAAAATTTTTTTTTAGAATTATATCCTAAGTTATATTTAATAATCATCTCTTACTAATTTTCTTACCTCTAAATATTATTTTTTTTATTTCTATTAACCCAATTTAACTATTAAAATTTAAATTGGAATGTTACAATTCTCCCCTCCTTTTAGAAATTTTGTCCTTAAAATTTAAAGTTAGTAACTATTAACTACTTACTTAATCAAAAAGACGAGGATAATCACGTCGCATACTGTCCTCGGTCTCCCACGTAGCATCACCTGGAGTCGTGTCCTTCCAAATTACTTTAACCAATCTAATGGTCTTGTTTCTTAATTGCTTGTCCTTGTAATCCACAATCCTTTCTGGTTCAGCTTTGAATGTCAAATTCTCCCTGAGTTCAATCTCCTCGGGTTCAATTATATGGGAAGGATCTGGTTGATACTTTTTCAGTTGTGACACATGGAATACGTTGTGTATTCCAGCAATTTGGGGTGGTAATGCTACTTGGTACGCTACTGGTCCAACTCGTTTTAAGATCTCAAAAGGCCCCATAAACCTTGGTGTCAACTTCTTAGCCTTAATAGCTCTTCCAACACTAGTTACTGGAAAGATTTTCAAAAATACATGGTCACCTACTTCAAACTCAAGCGGTCTTCTCCTCTTATCCGCATAACTCTTTTGTCTACTTTGAGCTGTGAGTAATTTTTGCTTGATTAAAGCAATCTTTTGGGTAGTCTCATCAACAATGTCCAGCCCCAAAACAGTTCTCTCACTTAATTCTGTCCAACACAGTGGCGATCTACATTTTCTTCCATATAATGCCTCATAAGGTGCCATCTGAATGCTAGAATGAAAACTATTATTGTAGGCAAATTCAGCTAATGGCAAGTGACTATCCCAATTACCTCTAAGCTCAATGGCACAAGCTCTTAACATGTCTTTAAGAGTTTGTATGGTTCGTTCCGTTTGCCCATCGATCTGGGGGTGGTAAGCTGTGCTAAAACTCAGACGAGTACCCATGGCTTCCTGTAATGACTTCCAAAAGTTTGATGTGAATCTCGGATCACGATCAGATACAATATTTGTCGGCACTCCATGCAATCTCTGTAACATTCCAATTTAAATTTTAATAGTTAAATTGGGTTAATAGAAATAAAAAAAATAATATTTAGAGGTAAGAAAATTAGTAAGAGATGATTATTAAATCTAACTTAGGATATAATTCTAAAAAAATTTTAAAAATAAAATAAAATAAATTTATTTAAAAAAAATTAATTAAAAAAAATTATTAAATTATTATTATAATAAAAAAAGGGAAAAAGGTATGCCAAAAAAAAAGGAAGAAGAAGAGAAAACGAATTTGCTTTCGGCGCCGCATGAATAGTAAATATAAAATAATAATAAAAAAAGGGGAGAGAGAAGAAGAAATAATAAAAAAAATGTGTGGGACCCACTGAATTTTTATAAAAACTCACCTTCCTTCATTTCCTCATTCATTCCTGCGCGCGAGCTGAGGCGGAGAGAACGCGAGTCACCGGTGCGAAATATCTAAATTTTTAAGGTAAGAGTTTTTAATAGGATATTTAGGGTGTGATTTTAAGCTTTTCAAGACTAAGTAAGTGTTCTAAAAATTTTTCTTAGTCATCCTTCTTCTTTAGTTTCTGAGTTTGTAGTGGTAGAAAATTTAAGATCTGGAAGAGAGATGAATTTATGTTGAATAAATATGGTTTTTGAGGTTGTCAGTAGTATAATAAATGTTATAGAGTATAAATTTGTTAATGATCTTTGAATTTATGGCTTATGGATCAAATTCTAGACTAGATCTGAAAATATATGTTGATTTATTGAGGTTTAGATGATTATTTGGGATGAGAAATGAATTATTATGGCTATAGGATTATGATTCTAAGCTAGAGACTTAATTTTTAATTTTTGGGTATTTTAGGTACGAATTTATGAAATAAAAAGAAAATTTTGATAATAAAAATTAGTTTAGAAGTTGATTTTTTAGATTATTAATGTTTATTGATAAGTAAAAGAGGAGTTAAAAATTATACTTAATAGTATTAACTATAGATTTGTATTAAGATTGAGATTAGGAATTATGTTATATTTTTAATTCTATTATTAGAATTATTTTATTAGTTTCAAAAATTGAAACTAATATTTATAAATAATATGTTATTTTGTAGATTGTATTACTGGTGAAGATTGTGGTGAGAGAGAAATTGTAAGGAATAATTTATTAAAAAAGCCACAAGGTAACCATGCTTTTAATTTATGATTAGTGTTACTTCATGTTAATTGGGTGATTATTGAGAAAATTATAAATTTTGTAATATTATATAATTGTGCAATATTATTACAAATTTATTTGATTATTGTGGGAGGTGTTGGGAGACTTGCTATTGTTGTTGTATTTATGTGCCACGTGGTATGCCCCTATTGGAGCTCAATAGGTGGTTTGTAAGGGCTCGGGCTAATCTACCTTTGGCCGGGTAATTTAGCACCGAGTGAGGGCTACGGCTCGAGGTTAATGGAGGGATATAAGGATGGTTGTTTGTGTGTATTGCAATATTTCTTATATTTATTGGAATTATATTATTTTTAATTCTCACTTAGTAAACACACACTTAACTGTTTGTATACACTATCATAAATTGGCTTTGGTTACTGGGACTTTTGAGTCTCATTATGTGGTTAACAATTTTCAGGAGAAGAGCCACGAGTGACACGTGGAGGAGTCCCAGAGGCTTAGTGGTATAGATCCACTGTCTCTTTTGGGTATTTAATTTATGATTTATAATGTGTTATATTGCCAATATTAGGGCTTTTTGTTTATTGTCAATTATATGAATATATAAATGTAATCATGCCTTTCAAACTATTTCTATTTTTAGTACAATTTGGATGACTGTAATTTTAATATTTGGTTTACTTTGGATTGGTTAAAATGGCATGATTATAAGGCCAAATAACTGGTTTGTGTTGAAAATTTATTAAATTGCTTATTTTACTTGTTGGGAGTATAAGGATGGACAAATGTGATTTAGTTTACTTGTTGGGAGTATAAGGATGGACAAATGTGATTTAGCCTAATGGCATGTGGGAGGTAAAAATTTATCTGAAATGTTAATTATAAAATATTTTATATTGAAATTATTGATATAAAAATGTGTTGGGTGGCTGTAACCCAACTATGGTTGAGTTAAATTATTTAAAAAAAAAATTTGGTGTGTTACAAATTTTGGTATCAGAGCTACATGTTTCAAATTCTTATAAATTATGAAATTATTATACATTAACCTAGTTTATTGGCAATATACATTATTAAATCATAATACTTCTCCATTATTTTTCTTGTCTTGAGATTAGTGTTAACTTAATTATGTGACTTCCATCCTTTAGGAGGGGAGAGATGGTGTCTAAAACTAGGAGAGGTGGTGAAATTGTCGGTGATTCTATAGAGCCAATAGGAAATGACATACCTTCACTGCCACAACCAGAGCCCACACAGCAACAAATCGGGCAGGGCGAGCCTATACAGTCATAACTAAGACAGGATGAGCCAACTATGAGGCAAATGATGGATTTACTATATAATCTTAGTGACCGCATGAAGAGACAAGAAGAAGAGTTGGCCGCTTTAAAACAATATAAGGAGAATTCCAACCGAGAAGGAAATGGCCAACAAGAAGGAAGCCATACCAAAGTATTAAATGCGAGCCAATTTGCTGATGAAGGCTCACCTTCTTATTCTCACCATGAGACTAGTCCGAAGAATGTGAGTCTCCACTCTGAGCAACAGACATCCACGATCACAAAGATCTGGAGTACTTTTCGTAAGTTTAATCCTTCTACTTTCGATGGAAATCTTAAGCCGGCGGTAGTTGAAGAATGGATAGATCAATTGGAGAGTATTTTTCGTATGGTTGTGTGTACTTCTAATCAAAAGGTGCAGCTGGCAATATTCTTACTACAGAAGAGTGCTAAGAAATGGTGGGAAACATCAGGACCGAAGGATGATTCCTCTCTTACTTGGGAAGATTTTAAAGCCATATTGTTCGAGAATTA